TGCACACAATCTGTAGTTTGCACACTTAAGATGCATAATGCAATAAGGGAATGGTGTAAGGGAGGGAACATTGCTCCCCCTGGAGGAATGAAGAGGCAGTGGGGCAAAGGTTTTTTCGGAAAATGAAAGGGGAGATGTCAGTATTATGAGCCTCAGAGCCATTACTGTCGTCTTTGTCATCACCCATCGTGTCCATATGTCATCTGTCTATGATTTATCTGACTTTCTCTCTCGGCTTTTTTATTCCCTTCCTCTTTCGCCTCTCTTTTTTTTTTTGGTTACTTTGTTTGTTTGAGAGATGATGCTTGTTGACATTAGTAAGTGAAAGAAACTTCTTGTCGAGTGAAGTTTTGACAATTTCCTTGGGAAGATTGTGTGGGTCGAAATTATGGGGCCAACCTGAAGTCTTCTACACCAACATGAACTGCATGTGAAATGCTACATACATTACAGAGGCACTTTCTCACAAAAACAGTGATACAAGATTTGACCAAAACTAATTAGCGCATGTCAGACATGACTTGTGTGAAGAGTGCTATTTCTGAAGATGAAACACTTTTGCATATTACCCATCATTTATCAAGACCGGTCTATTTTTAGGCAACAATTACTGAGGAGTTTATTAAAACTCCCCCAAATCAAAATGAAAAATGCTTTCTCAAAGTTATTATGAATGTGTGTGGGTGGTGACTGACTCCCTGGGCCAAAGTAGGGCAGGAGAGCCTGGCATCACCTCACTTTTCTGCTGCATGAGTGACCCGAGGAAACAGTGCGTGTCTGCGTGTGTGCGTATGTGTGCCTTAAAGCAAGCTGCTGTCAGAATGGGAGGAGCGACCACAGTGAAGAAGAGAGCGCAGCAGAGAGAGCGTTAGCATCTGTTTTTTCTGTAGCAGCCAAGCGGCACTGGCAAGATTTTTGGAGGCACACGCGCGCACGTTTTTTTTCCTGCATATCTACACAGACTTTTATATCTTTCCACTCGGGCATGTTCACATGCGGAAGTGGCATGAACTATTTGTCCTTTTTCTGCACACGTCTTGTCGGTCTGGCTTTTCCTCACATTAACATCCTGGGACTCCACTGCCCCATGCACTGACACTGATCGAAAAGCCACCCCATCAGCATCTTATCGCACGGAAGCCAAGCCTGCCATCGGCATGTGAGTACAGCAGAGACGGAGTTGAAAGAGAGAAAAGCCGAACGCGCTGACTTGTTATCTTGCTTACTTCAGTTAGTTACATGCCAACATCTGAAAGAAAATCACAATGTTTTCGTTTCTGCATTTTTAAAGGATGCTGCAGTGAGTTTTAGAGTTTTAGCAGACCGTGAATGTGAATGTACTGTTCATTGCAATTTATCATTCTCAGCTCCCTTGTGAGAATCCTTGAAAACACTTCCATGACTATACTCCAGTGGCTATCAACATTGTCAGTGACATTGAACAATTGTTGTTGGTTTAGTTCAGTCACATTTGCAGTACTAATTTCACCTGATCTGCTGGTTTGCTTCTAGCAGTGCCTGTCTGCCTCACTCGTACCAACATTTTCAAACTGGACATCAGCACTAAAATAATAAACCACTCAGCCACGTAGAAAATGATGATGAGAGCCTATCTGACTTTCTCCTCGAGTTGATTTCATGAATTTATTATCTTCAATGTTGTCTCTCTTCTGCACAAATACAACCGCAGATTGAGAAACAATTACAACCTTTCATCATTTGGGTGCAGGCCCCACGAGTCCCATTTTTGGCCTGGCCCCAGAGTGGGGCCCTGTTGACTTGCATCCAGGAAGGGGAAAACTCATTTTAGAGTTTTTTTGGAGCTGTATTTTGTCTGGTCCCTCACCTAGGATGACCCTGCTCGGATCATAAAGCCCCAGACAACTTAGCTCCTCAGATCATTTGGGCACGCAAAGCCCTCCGTCACAGTAAGGTGACGACCCAGGGAGGGGCCCTTTGCTTCCCGACAAGGGCTTTCCTATGTTTAGAGAGTTTGATTTTTTCCTTGATTGAGCTGTTGTGCATTAACCCTTTCAGGGACAGCGGTTACTACAGTGGACAGCTTATCAGGTTACAGGGTGCATGAAAGGACGTGGAGAACTATTCTGTGTGGCTTTAATCTATTTTGTGTTCTTTCTCCTGTGTATCTTTCTTTCCATCTTGCTTTCAATCCCATAATACTGTTTTGAGGCATTATGCTCCGAGATGGAAGATTCTATGGTGTGAAGCAAAGCAAATATGTTAATGTATTAACATGCAGATACGATTTGATGATGGTGTAAGATTGAAGGTGATGGACTCGGGTCAGTGATGGGGAAAAAATGTATTCCCACTAAAGGTCACCTTCATTGTCATCTTGAATGGCCGTTGTGCATCAAATTCATGCATCTATTATTATGCTCCTTGCATTAAATATTCTACATGAATTTTTGCAACTAATCGCTATCTTTTTCAAAATGTGTCAGGAGGCGGATTTCATTTATAGGAAGGAAAAGAAATACAGCAGTATAGAAAGGCTCTGGATGTCTTTGGTTTGTGGATGGCTTTGTGGTTCCTGTTAGTAGTGTACCTCAAGCGTAATTGAATTAGTAAGCTTTGATTAGATTCTGCCCATGGTTCAGGGACATACACAGCCCCACCCATCAGAAGTCTTATTGGGGCCATTTTGCCAGGGACATTGTGATCATGTATGATGTTCAGAAGACATGTTTTTCAGCTGTGATCAAATATATCATAAATTGCTGGCTGATGTTAGTTTTCCCCGGGTAGTCTGTTTTCCTTCATTCTTACTAAAAAAAGCATTTTAGATTTTGATTTATATTGAAATACTCTCCATTATGGCTGCCTCTGTCAAATATTTTTGGAATTGATTATTCTATCGATGGGCAGCTTAGTGGAGAACTGGTTAGCATGTCCGCCTCACAGTGCAGAGGTCGTGTTCGAGTCCGGCCCCGACCTTCCTGTCTGGAGTTTGCATGTTCTCCCCGTGCCATCGCGGGTTTTCTCTGTGTTTCCTCTCACATTCCAAAAAATATGCATGGTATGTTGTTTGAACACTCTAAATTGTCCCGAGGTGTGACTGTGGGTGGGAATGGTTGTTCGTCAGTGTGTGCCCTGCGATTCGCTGGCAAGCAGTTCAGGGTGTCCCCGCCTACTGCCCGAAGACAGATGGGATCGGCTCCAGGACGCCCGTGACCCTTGTAAGGATGAGCTGATGGATGGATGTTCTATCAATTAATCCACCGAATAAGCTGATACATTTTCATTTAGAATTTTTTAAAACTCCAAACCGTTTTTACAGATAAAGGATTATTAACCAATTATCTTTGTTTATTTGGCTTAGTTTAGTGATTAAGAAACAACTAAACAACGGTTAGGCAATATGCCACGAGAGGGATTGATGTTGTCGTCGCCAACCTTCTTGAAACTGATTCAGTTACAGGTTTGGTCATTGTTTTCCAAAGTAAAAGCAAATGTCTTGTTTTGACTAAACACAAAAGATAATTAGTGTGTTTTCATGAAGAACTGCATAAATCACAGAATAATTGCTGTTGGGAGACTGAAATAGCATTTGGAGAAAACATTTGTGAAAATAGTTGTTGATTAATTTCACAATGAAAGAGTGATCGATTAATCGATTAATTTTCACATCTCTGCTCGAAATTGGTGTATGGGTATAAATGTGAATGGTTTGTCAAGAAGTGCCTTGTAATTGACAGACCAAAACAAGGCCAGCCGAGATTAGATGCAGCAGGAAGCATTTTGAAAAAATGGATGGTTGTATGTTTTATTTGTTTTTATTTTGTTGTTGGTTTTTAAATTATTTTTATTTTTTTATTTTTTTATTATTTCACCATTGTTTTAGGGCGTTTGAGGCATTACAGTAAAATGTACCTTTTAAATTAAAGAAACAAAATGAAAATTTCATGCAACTTGTGAAAAAAAAAAGGTCCATAGAGAGCTTCTGCAGTGGGTTGTTGTGCTGAGTGTGGAAGCAGTTCACTGCTCTTTGCATCGATTGGCTGACTGGTAGCTCACTTGCAATTATTGCTTGACATTCAGCTTGAATGGAGAAGAGCTGTTGGAAATGGGGTTTATTTTAGGAACAGCAAACACTGTTGCGTCGATTAAGAGAACACATGATCAAATTTAGAATTTGTAATGCTGTACACATGCATTAAAATGTATGAAAATTAATTACAGTGGGGAAGGTTTGTTTCTTTTTTCAGACCGTAGATTTGTACACCACAATAAAAATAAGCGTTAAAGGAGAAGTCAACCCAAAAATGTTCTTTAAAAAAATAAGTTCTATCCTGCCCTATTTGTCTAAAACCCGGCATTCTGATTCATATTCCGTTTGTGGAGGATGTGTTAAGCAGTAAAATCTACTCGTTTTTGTCCATCTCAAGGGCCGGCCATTTTGCCGCTAGCTCTTGGCTGAAAATGACATCACAGTAGCTAGTAGTTTTTTCAAGACAACTTGATAATTATCCGACATTTAATTGGAGATTGGGTTCAAGAATCTCTTCACTCATTGAGCTTCCTAAAATTGTCCCGATTAAAATAAATAAATAGAAAAATAAATAAATACATGCATACACACTGTTCTGTGCCTCGGAAACAGGAGTTGTCATTTCGCTGATAAAGAATGCATCTGTTATAACACAGTGTATATTATATTGGTTTTAGTCTATTCGGATTCAGGAGCTCCTAATTCTGTCCAGGAATGGAAGTTGTTTGATTTTGTGCCGTGTAGAAACCACTTATATCGTGGACAATCTAACTTTGTAATGAAATCTTTTTTGCACGTGCCAATTCTGATTGACTGGTTTTACGAAAGCTCTCGAACAGAATCCCAACACATATTACTTCTGCCTATTACGTTATTAATCTTGCCTCTGTGTGTATCTGCGGATGTGTGTGTGTGTGTGTGTGTGTGTGTGTGTGTGTGTGTGTGTGTGTGTGTGTGTGTGTGTGTGTGTGTGTGTGTGTGTGTGCAGAATACAGTCGTTTTGAGGCAAAGATCCATGACCTGAGGGAACAGATGATGACCAGCAGTGTCAGTTCCAGTTCCACGTCACTTCGATCCACTCAAAAGCGCACACTCTATGTCAGGTAATTGCGCAACACACCTGCAAACACGAGGTTGCCGTTTGTCCTTCACTGCAACCTTGTCGTGCATCTCAACGACAACTTTATCTCTAATTATTGTGAAATGGATGCATGCACATCTATCCCCATCTACCCAATGTTTACGTTCATGTATTCCCAAAACGCTATTATTATTTACACCTTTGGCTTTGGCATGAAACAATGACTCAGAAACAAGAGATCATTTTCACTTTCATTTCCGAGTATTTACACTTCTCCGATAAGCAACTTCGGATTTCACGCGTAACGTTAATCAGGCCTAATTTGAGCATTTTCCTTCCCTTGAGATTACATTTACCAAAGGCCCGGTTCTCAGATGTCTCTGAAAGATTATCCTGAGTAATAATCCTGTGATCTGGTGTGATGTCCCAAGGGATTTTTTTCCTCCCTGCAGTTAGGGCTGATCGCCGTAAATTGAAATCCTGTTCACTAGTTTTGGCGTGCAAATCTGTATAGGTTTGATCAATACTGAGTTCAGCCAAGCTACAGACTCCATTGTGATGTGAAACAGAACAAAAGCCAATAGCTGAAGGAAGCCAATAGCTGAAGCTTGAGCTGTTCCCCGACAAAATCAAAGGGACAATTGGTTATATTTAATGTTTCTGTAACTTGTCCTGAAAAAATGATTGACCAGAGGAAACGAGTTTTCAACTGCAATGTAGTTTCCTGATAAGTTTGGCCAGCTACTCTAATTTCCTCTTAGACTGCTGCAGTGCTGCGAATATCAGGCAAGTTCACTAGCAAGAGTAAAATATGTTGCAGCTCCGAAAAAGGAGAGCTGTGGTGTTGGTTTTTAAAACGGATACTTTATTTATACTTTTCAGTCTCAACCAATTCAGACACGTCATTCTGTGTCTCCATGCCTTCTCTTCTGTCGTTTTACTCGAGAGACGTTCAAGGACCGCCTCTGAAAAACGTAAATTAACGATAACTTTAATGACATGAAGAAAATCGAAAATAATCCACCAGAACAGAAAATCAAGCTAGGAAGTCACAAAATAAATTCTATGGGGGGTGGTTTGTGAACACACAACGAAGGAATAAATAAACAATTTTGAGACAGTCCAGTGTCCTACAAATATGCTTCTAATTGATTTTTGAATGGATGGGAGCTGGTGCCTCTCCCAGCTGACGTAAAGTGAAATGTTGATTCCACCCTGGACTGGTTTTCAGTCAGTCACAGGGAGACACACAGCCACTCATACCATCACTGAGTGGGAAGTGAAGCCACGATGTCTTCACCAAGGTCAGGTGAATGTACCGTGACAAATTCAACATTGATGAAGTAAAGAATTCAGATTTTTTTTTTTACCAATTAATATATGGTAAGAATTAAAGCAACAAATAATTGTTGAAATTTTGGTACTTGTTTCTTATTGATTACATTGTCAAGTCAAGTCAACTTTATTGTCAAATATGCTGTATGTGCAACATACAGCAAAGATGAAATTTCTTTCCTCTTAATCACAGTAGAGAGAGGAGCCACCGCGGGTACCCGCGCCGCCATCAACAGAACAGTTAACATAAAATAACAAAATAATACAACACAACACATAAGATACAGACAGTCATGCAATCATAACCAGTTTTTCTGCATACACTTTGTTGTTTGAAGCAGTTATAGATGAAAGAGGAGAGAATCAAAGTGTCCTTTCACCAGTGGCTCAGCGACGTCATGCTGAAAAAGTGCACATGTCTGCTACAAGCTAGGTTTGAAAGCAAACAAGAAGCTGTCGCATCCATTGGCGAAAAAAGAACTTGGCTCACATCTCCAGTCCCATGTAAATCTGTTTCAATTCCAAGCGGCGACTCCCAGTTCCACATATGCATCTCCGCTCTGCGCTGACGCTGCTTTCTTCTCATCGTCGGCTCCACAAGTCATCCATCCAGCCGGAGACTGCATTTCTGTCTGTGTCTGTTATGTCAACCGACGGAGATTTTTTTTTCTTTTTTTTTTGGGGGGGGGGGGGGCGTCCCACATTGTCCCATCATTAGAAAGGTACCTGCGATGATACCAAGATTTACAGTGAGGAATCTGAAATATTTGAAAGCATGCATCATGTTCACCCGCTTGGCATGGGAGGCAGATGAATTAACGAGAATGGTAGCCTAAGCCGCTGTATTGTCGCCTCATATCTGAAGGAACAATTACTCACAGGATGGCACAATGCCATGTCACACCTAAATGGAACTTTACAGAATACAGTACTTAAATATACAGTGGATGTTACAAATGGACACAATCTAGTGAGGTGCCAGTCTTTGTGACGCTAAAAAAAAAAAAACTCAAAATAAAAATATTTGATGGATGTTAAATAAATTTGAAAAATGACAGTTCCGCTGCGAAAAATATCTTTTAGCAGCATAAATCAAAAACATAAAACAAGACTGTAAAGAAAAATCAAAAATTGATGATTGTCACATTACGCACAAAGCAGGAAAAAAGAACTGCTTCGGACGTAACAGAGCAAATGAGAATAAGTGGATCTCCAAAATAGCAGACACTGACAAGGACTTCGTCTCAAAATAATATTTATTATAAACAAAAACTCCGCCGAATGAAAAACAGAAAACGCTGGTAAAAACGAGAACCAGGAACTAATGTAACGCGACAACAAAAAGCTCTTGCAAAAAACGGCAAGGAAAATGATTAGACAATTACTAGTTCAAGTACACGCTTTGAATAATCCTAATGGGACGACGAAAATGTAACAAACAGCAAATCGTATTCGAACAATGTTTACAAACATGGGCAACAGCAGTGGCACGGCATGCAATACTCCGGCAATGAGTCGACAGCCGGAGCGCCTAGATATAGCAGGTGCAATCACAGACAAATAGGCAGCAGGTGTGCATGCGGCAGAAATGAACGCCTGCCACCTGCTGCCAAATACGGAACATGACAGTACCCCCACCTCAACGGACGCCTCCCGGCGGCCTCCCCGGTTTGGATGGGTGAGAAGCGTGGAAGTCACGAAGAAGGGACGGATCCAAGATCCAGGAGCGGAAGACCCATTGCTGATCCTCGGGGCCCGTAGCCCTCCCAATCGACGAGATACTGGAACCCCTTACCCCTGCGCCGAGAGTCCAGGATGGTCCGCACAGTGTACACTGGGTCACCGTCGACGACCCGCAGAGGAGGAGGCGGGGTGGGAGAAGGAGCCTAGGGACTGGTCGCCACCGGCTTGATCAGAGAGACGTGAAACATGGGGTGCACCTTCATGGAGGCAGGCAACCGGAGCTTGACTGCGACGGGGCTGATGATAGATTCCACCACGAACGGTCCGGTGAAACGTGGCCCCAACTTGGCAGACGTGCCGGCCAAGCGCAGGTCCCTTGTAGCCAGCCACACCTCCTGCCCCACCGTATAGGTCGGTGCAGGGCGTCGACGACGGTCCGCGATCTGCCGGTTTCTGGATGCCGTGCGGGATAATGCGGCCCTGGTCTCCTTCCATACGCGATGGGCCCGCTTGAGGTGGCACTGCACCGATGGAACCTCTACATGCCCCTCCTGGGATGGGAACAGCGGCGGTTGATACCCGTAGGCCGTCATGAAAGGAGACCGCCCAGTGGCTGAAGAGACGAGGGTGTTGTGTGCATATTCCACCCAAGGTAAGTGGTCGGCCCAGGACGAGGGACGGTGGAGACACACACAACGAAGGGCCGCCCCCCAGATCCTGGTTAGCACGCTCCGCCTGTCCATTGGACTGCGGGTGGTATCCTGGCGTCAAACTCGCCGTGGCCCCCAGGGACCGGCAGAAACGCTTCCACACTCTGGACACGAACTGGGGCCCCCGGTCAGATACAATGTCCAGAGGAATGCCATGGAGACGGAAAACATGCTTGACGAGGAGGTTGGCGGTCTCCAACGCCGACGGCAACTTGGACAGCGAGATGAAGTGGGCTGATTTAGAGAAACGGTCCACAATCGTGAGAATGACGGACCGCCCACGGGATGGAGGAAGACCTGTGACAAAGTCTAGGGAGATGTGGGACCAGGGTCGAGGAGCAATGGGTAGTGGTTGGAGCAACCCTGCCGGAGGCTGATGCGAGGCCTTACCGCAGGCGCAGGCGGAGCAGGTGTTGATGAACTCCACGACATCCTTCCGTTGCTCTGGCCACCAGAACTGCTGGGAGATGAGATGCAGAGTCCGGTTCACCCCGGGATGGCAAGCCACCTTGGACCCGTGCCCCCACTGCAACACCTCCGAATGCAGTGGTGGAAGCACAAACAGCTTCCCTGCGCGACATTCAGCCGGGACTTGGACCCCATCTTGAGCCTCCTGAATCCTCCGCTCGATCTCCCACCTCAACGCCCCCAGGATGCAATGGTCCGGAAGAATGGTTCCTGGTGTGCGGTCCCTTTCCGCGGGATCGTGGAGACGGGAGAGGGCGTCAGGCTTAGTATTCTTGGATCCGGGACAGTATGTGAGGGTGAAATTAAACAGAGTCAACAGAAGTGCCCACCGGGCCTGTCGTGAATTCAGTCTTTTAGCGGAGCGAATGTACTCCAGGTTTTTATGGTCTGTGAAAACAGTGAATGGCTCCTTAATCCCCTCGAGCCAGTGTCTCCATTCCTGTAGGGCTGCAACAACAGCCAGTAGTTCTCTTGTTTCCCATGTCATAGTTCGACTCAGCGGCACTGAGTCGACGAGAGAAAAAGGCGCAGGGGTGCAGCTTCTGGTCAGCCGGAGAACGTTGAGACAAAACTGCCCCCACTCCTGAATCCGAGGCGTCCACCTCTACAACAAAAGGGTGGTCAGGATTAGGATGTTGCAGTACGGGTGGGTTAGTGAAGGCTTTTTTTCAAGTTCGCGAATGCTGAGTCTGCATCCGAGTCCCATTTGAACGGGATCTTAATGGAAGTCAACCGGGTTAACGGAAGAGCCTTTTGGCTATAGTTCCGAATAAATCTTCTATAAAAATTGGCAAACCCCAAGAACCGTTGTAGCTCCTTACGGCTAGTAGGTGTTGGCCATGCCACCACCGCCTTAGTTTTAACTGGGTCGGCTCTCAGCTTACCCTGCTCGATGATAAATCCCAGGAAAGAGATGGTTTGTACATGGAACTCACACTTTTCTGCCTTGACGAAGAGCCTGTTCTCTAATAACCGTTGTAAAATGAGCCTGACGTGCTGTTTGTGTTCCTGTAATGACTGGGAAAAAATCAAAATATCATCGAGACAAACAAAACAAAATACATTCAACAGGTCTCTCAACACGTCATTGACCAGACTTTGGAACACAGCGGGAGCATTAGTCAAACCAAAAGGCATGACTAAATACTCAAAATGGCCTAATGGAGTCTTAAAAGCCGTATTCCATTCATCCCCTTCCCGCACGCCAACCAGATGGTACGCACTACGTAAATCTAATTTTGAGAAAATGGTGGCCGATTGTAAGGGAGCGAAAGCGGAGTCTAACAACGGAAGTGGGTATTTATTCTTAATGGTAATGTCATTGAGCCCCCGATAGTCCACACACGGCCGCAACGACTTGTCCTTCTTCTCAATGAAGAAGAACCCTGCACCTAACGGTGATCGTGATGGTCTGATAAGACCTGCAGCGAGCGAGCTATTAATATACTCCCTCAATGCCTCTTGTTCTGGATGAGACACCTGATATAGCCGAGAGCTCGGCAGCGGGGCGCCCACCTGCAAGTCTATGGCGCAGTCGTACGGACGGTGTGGAGGCAAAGATCGGGCGCGGTCCTTGCTGAAAACCTGTTGCAAATCATGATAGCAACTAGGCACTCCGTCAAGGTAGATGACTTCAGGGGCATCGTTACCGACACGCACGCGCCCTCCTATGGCGGATCGCAAACAATGCTCGTAACAAAACGGGCTCCAAATCTCTATTGCCGGGCGCTCCCATGAAATAACTGGGTTGTGTGTCTTGAGCCAGGGTAAACCGAGAATAACTGGAACGGCTCGGGAATGCATCAGATAAAATCGTCTGTGTTCGACGTGATTCCCAGATAACCTGAGCTTTAGAGGTTCTGTGATCTGTGTCACCGCCGCCAGAAGGCGTCCATCGAGATCGTGAACACGCTTCTTTTCGGCTAGCTCCTCGACTAAACAGCCTATCTCTGAGGCAATGTCAGTATTGAGAAAGCAATCATCGGAACCCGAGTCTATCAGACTCGGGTTCCACCACCTGCCTCCTGGGGGGTCCCAGTCGAGAGTCGACTCTCCGAAGCTCTCGAGATTCAGCACGGGGTCGTGACTCACAGTACTCGACCGGCATAGGTGGTTGAGGTTCCGATGGGCAGGAAGCGGCCCGATGTCCCTGTAGGCCGCAGTTGGAACAAGCCTGGTCATCGAACTGGCGCCATCTCTCCCCCGGTCTGGAACTTCCGCCTCCCAGCTGCATCGGCTCCTCCCCGGGGGCGGCACTCCGGGCTCTGGGGTGGTCTCCGGACCCAGCTGTCCGAGTTGTCTCGCGGGATGCCCCTCGGTACGCCGTATGTCTGAATGGAAACCAACCACCTCCGCACTGCCGGCTCCTCTCTCTCAGGCGGTTGTCCAGGAGCAGAGAGAGATCAATTAACTCCTCCAGGTTGGTACTGTTGTCGCGGGTAGCCAGTTCATCCTTGAGTAAAGTGTTCAATCCGCGACGAAACAAACCACACAGCGCCTGGTCGTCATAGCCACTCTGGGCGGCTAAAATGCGAAACTCAATCGAATAGTCCGCCACGGATTGTCTTCCTTGGCGGAGCTCAAGTAATCGGCCTTCAGCCTCTCTTCCCCGAACAGGATGGTGGAATACCCGACGAAACGCGGCCACGAAGCCGGGGAAGGAAGACCGGAGGTTCGGTTGTGCTTCGCTCACCGCAATTGCCCATGACGCCGCCTGACCAGTCAATCGGCTCATGATATATGCAACCTTCGCGTCATCATTAACATAAACGGAAGGTTGCTGGTCAAAAACGAGCGAGCACTGGTGGAGGAAGTGCCCGCACTGACCATGCTCACCTCCATAACGTGGAGGGTGTGGAAGCATTGGTTCCCTACTAAATGTAGGAGAATGGACGGGTACCTCCGTGGTAATACGTTGGACCTCCGGGGTAGGTGCTCTCCATCCTTCTAAACGTACTAAACAAGGCTCGAAATCATCGAACCTGTGAGCCAGCATGGAAACCGCGCCGTGGAGCTCCGAAATGGCTTGGCCCTGCTGACTCATAAGTTGCTCTTGACGGGACAGAGCGGACAAAACCTTCTCAATATCTGCGGGATCCATGGTGGCCGGAGTATTCTGTCACGTTACGAACAAAGCAGGAAAAAAGAACTGCTTCGGACATAACAGAGCAAACGAGAATAAGTGGATCCTCGAAATAGCAGACACTGACAAGGACTTCATCTCAAAATAATATTTATTATAAACAAAAACTTCGCCTAAGGAAAAACAGAAAACGCTGGTAAAAACGAGAACCAGGAAATAATGTAACGCAACAACAAAAAGCGCTTGCAAAAAAACGGCAAGGAAAATGATTAGACAATTACTAGTTCAAGTACACGCTTTGAGTAATCCTAATGGGACGATGAAAATGTAACAAACAGCAAATCGTATTCGAATAATGTTTACGAACATGGGCAACAACAGTGGCACGGCATTGCAATACTCCGGCAATGAGTCGACAGCTGGAGCGCCTAGATATAGCAGGTGCAATCACAGCCAAATAGGCAGCAGGTGTGCAGGCGGCAGAAATGAATGCCTGCCACCTGCTGCCAAATACGGAACATGACAATGATGGAAAAAAAAAAACCCTTTAAAATAATTCCTACAGTGTAGATTGTAGGGCTACACAATCGGAAAAATGTCAACATCACAATAATGTCCCGTGCAATATCCATATCGCAAAGACCTTTATTGGGTTTGTTTTACTGCATGGCATATGCTGTATTGTAATGTTAACCCTTTCAGGGACAGCGGTTAATACAGTGGACATCTTATCATGTTATCAGATTATAGGGTGCATGAAAGCATTAAACTGCCGGTTGTATAAAACAATATCAACCAATAAAGGCGCTTTGAAATGTGATCATGTATTCCTGTTGAACATTGCCACGATCAATCTGTTCCTCGACCCATGTAATTAGATCTGAGTGACTCCCGTGTGTTCTTTTAAATGATTCGAACATGAAATTGATTCCAAGTTCAAGTGACATTGACCTCAGTTATGAAACCAGGTGCAATCAATGTAAAAACAAAAACATTGTCATCAGTTTTTGCAACCGTTGACCAATGGAATTGCCACGTCGTCAAGAATGCTTTGACTAAATTCTCTCACCTTTAGCATGCTGACTCTGTCCTAAACGCTCTGTACACCAAACGTTTTTTAAGAGGCATCAGAGCACAGTTTTTTCTGCCAACTCTGATTGATTGAATATTTTTTTTCAATTTTAGTTTAATTTCTTAGACTTACAAGGACATATCTCAAGGGGAAAGTCCACTTGCATTCTGCTGTATATTTAGTGTTGCACACCATACATGAAGGCACGCCGGGAATATGTCAGCATAAAAAGGGGCGCGCAAACAGTGCTGCGCCTCTCCAGCTTAGAGGTGGAGTCGGTGCCTCGTTCAAGGACCCTCTTGACTTTGGCCAGCAAGTAGACTAGCATCTCTCCAACAACTCGTTGCACATATTTTTCGGCAGTGGGACTTGAATGGTGGCCCCCTGGCTCCACATAAATACTCACAGATGAGGTACTGCCAGCCCTTAGGTTTAATATTTAATCCAAAATCCTTGAAATATTTGGAGATTTGGTAGACTGTGTCTATCTGTCTATCTTGATTTCCCCGTCTCTGCTCTGTTTTATTGATGAAGGCAGTGGGGACTTTAGGGCATGCCTGTTATTTCAGCTCTACTTCGCACTCGCACACACACACCCGGCTGCCCTATTTTTCCAGGTTGTTTCCCTGTGGACGGGTTTGGAATTCTGTGGTCTGTCGCAAAGGCGGTCCATCCTTGAGCCGTGCGTACACATACACATGGACCGTCAACACGCAGCATCCTACCGGCGCACAAAGAGACAGATGTGCACATCTTCCAGCTGTTGCGTTGATGGAAATGCCTCGTTTGTGTTACCATTGGAAGTGTTTTTATTTATGGCCCACACACTTCATCATTTTGTCGCCTGATGATTTATCCATCCTTTTGATTTTGATCTTGCAAAGAATAACAAAAAGAGTGCGTTTGCGACCAAATGCATCAGTCTAATTATATATTTCCTATGTCCACCGGCAGAGCGCTCTTCGACTATGATGGAAGCGCATCCGACTTGAGCGCCCCAAATCAGGTTCTGCCCTTCCGCTTTGGAGATATCCTTCATGTGAGCAGTGCTGGTGAAGAAGAGTGGTGGCCTGCGCGTCACCTCAGCCCCCCACCCCCGAACTGCCCAGAGGTTGGAGTCATCCCCAGCCGTAGAAGGTTGGTGTGAAGCGTGAAACGTGGCCCAAGGGGCGAATGTCGGTCACTTGATTCCTGGAAATTGTGTCTTCCTAACTGCCGGGGTTCCAGCATTACGCGCAAAACCTGAAATTGAAACTGAGGGAAATTAGAATAATGTCTTGGTTTAAAGACCAGAGTACATTTAATACATGATCATTAGTGATTAAAAGATGAATATGGTATAAATAATCTGTGGTTTCATCACAGAGATTTTTTTTTGTGTATGTTGTGCCTCAGGTAGGTGGTTATTTCAATTTTGTTGACATTCATGAAGTGAAGGGTTGGGGAGTTGATGTATGAGATGGTAGACGGGAATTTGTTTTGAAATGACAGCATATAAAATGAGGAAACTGGAGGGGTGGGAGTGAATGATCGGTGAGCAACTGGAATGTTGGGGGTTTGGATGAAGAGGTAGTCACAACTTGGGATGGTCATTATTCATAGTTTATCTGCTATCTATCATATTCATTATAGACTGTAGAAATGTAATGAGCATCCTAATGGAGGATGTACAAAGTTAAGGCAGTGGTGTACATTTTCTGGTCAAGGTTGATGTTCCACCTCCTTTTTCACAGGGCCGAGAAAAAGGAGAGATCAAGGTTAAAGACAGCCGCCGTGATGAGGACTCAGGATAGATCGGTGAGTACCAATCCAAAAGAAATTTCCATTGCTTTTGCTCTAACTTGGCTAATCATGTTGTAGCGTTGTACCATACGGTCCTAAAAATAATGTCAAAACACAGTCATGGCATACTGTCCTCCAGTAGAATCCAACCGGCTTTTCTAATTAGAAGAACTCAAACAGGCTGTGAAACGTTGGGACAGAATAAATACTGTCTTTCAAGCAACCTGATTCTTTTGTTTAAGTGACTTTAACCCTGTTTCTTAAAAGTTGATGTGATGAGAAGGTGCGGTCCCAAAGTCTAAGTCTAGCACGAGCTATTGATATCTCCGGCATCGGCTCTCTTTCACACTGTCTTCCCCTTTTTTCCTCACACTTTGTAAAGGGCTGCTAAATGAGAGAGAGAAAAAAAACTTCAGGTGCATGTGTGTGTTTGGAAGCAAGAGAAAGCATGAGCTGTATACTGATGACATTCAGTCATTTGTTGTGATAATCACCTCTACGTACTGCATTTTTTTTCTATGGTTCTCTGGGCAGGATCAAGACGAAAGGGGTAAGTAAATGTCATATCAGTGACCCCTGCTGGCCAGTGTGCATCGTATCCATTCCCACAAACACCGGCATTTGGAATTCACTTTAAACTCGTCCTTATTGTGCTGTGTGCACAGTGTGGCAGCGCTAATATTGTCTCTAAACAAAAAGCGACAATAGCAATGCCTCATAAGACGTAAATAAAACATGAGTAGCCAACTCATAAGAAGGTAATGATGGTTTTCTTGTTGCATGGAAATTTTGAACGTTTTAAACAATAAAACTGTTCGGCGAATATCAGAGGGACGTTTGGTGAACCAAACCATGAACGATTCACTACCTTTTCCATCTGCAAATTTTGGGATAAGGCATCATTCTTTTTCAAGAAATTCTAAAAAAGCCAGTGTCGTGTTTTTACCTGTCATTTTACAGGCCCTCTAATCTGTGTTGAATGCAGGCCATTATGAATTAGTTATTGATTCACATGCTCTGAGCAATATCAGTAAATTACAGAATATGGATGTATGTAATGTGTGGTAAATGGTTTCTGTTCTGATAATGTACATGATGTGTCACTTGATATGGATTTCTATGTTGTTATCTGTGTGGGGAGGATAATGTGTGTGTGTGTGTGTGTGTGTGTGTGTGTGTTTGTGTGTGTGTGTGTGTGTGTGTGTGTGTGTGTTTGCAAGGGTGCGGGTGCGCGTTTTTTGTTTTCAGAAGTGATTAATATAGCCCAAATTTGTTTTCAAGTTAAAATAAAATAAAATAATAATAATAATAATAATAATCATAATGAACTCCAATACTTTCTACTTGGATCAATATTCTGATTGCTTGGACCTAGTATTTTAAATGTTCTCTAAAGTGCTTTGTTACAGCTGCAGCGGTTGTGAAAGATCTGTATAAATAAAGCGTATTGTATTGTATTGTATTGTATTTCCTTTAGCTTAGCTCCATCTAGTGGAATCATAATGTAACCGCAGCCATTATTGTAGGTTCTATTCTTTGCGCCTTATGATGCGGTGCGCCCTGTATATGAAAACAGTTGTAAAATAGGCCATTCATAAGAGTATAAGGTGGGCTTTATACTCCTGAGCACCTTATAGTGCAGAAAATACGGTATATGTAATTGAATTCTATTCAACTTTGACAGGGGAATTCACCCACATTTATTCGCAAAGCTAACATACAATTTTCTTATTCAGAAAGACTTGAGTTCTGCCAACTCACCTCATGCTTTGCGGAATGTTGCAGAAGCCTTCTCCTTTCAAATGTGCACAACCCTTTCTCCAGGGATAAACATGGAGAATTCCAGCTCATCTGACAAGGTCACAGGCAGTACAAACTGTGTTGACATGCCTGCACTGACCTGCCGATTTTATTCAATTGAACATTCAATTTTGCAGACGCATCTTACAACGTGTTGGTACAATACCAAATTCGGACTTTGATACTTTAGCTTCATAAAATAACTCACTACCAGTACTGAAACGGAACAGTGGCCAAAATGTGTGTGTTATGCATCTGTGTGAGACTCTGCTTTTCCGGGGCCAAGTGGTAAATTCAGAAGTGTGAAAGGTGTATCATTGTGAATTGTATTCTCTTTGCATTTAAATGTGTCCCTAACATTTCTGTGTCCAATTAGCTGGCCAGGAGGAGACTTTGTTAATCTACCAAGCAGTTATCCAGCAGGAAGGTCAGTGATTTATTATAGCTACTTACCGGTATCAGTGGGGGGAGAAAAAGTAGATAGTAGTCTAAGAATCAACCCAGTTGTTTTATCAATTATACAAAATGAAACTTTTGAAAATGACTACATGATCATTTGACAGTGTCGATTAGTTTATGCTTTTTGCAGCTAACCCCACAAATAGATTTGTTGTAATGGGGTCCTCTGTTAAAATGACAACCTATAACGTTTTGACATAACCAAGGGTACACAATAAACGTTTTCTCAGAAGTGTTAGATTATGATGCAATGGCTCAGTCATTGCCGTACTTATTGTTTTTCATAAGACTCTTTTATATTTATCATCTGGAATATTTGATTAAAAAATGCTTTTAATGGCTGTACTACTGCTGAAGCGTAGTTTACTACCTACACGAACCAGAATCCCTGGCTGAATGCAGAGGTTATAGAACTGCCGAAGGCTAGGGATGCTGCTGCCTTCAGGGTACATGACGCATCAGCACTCAGGGCAGCGAGAAGAGATCTGGCAGCAGTCATAATGATGGGGAAATACTCCTTCGCTCAGAAAATCCAGGACCACCTAACCTCTAATGACTTTTGGAGCACATGGAAAGGCACAAAACTCAATGCGTCACAAACTACAACACCAAGGATGCACAACGCATGTCAGATGTCCTCAACCAGTTCTTTACTTCATTGAGGACACTAACACCAAACACCCCAACTTCAGACTCACACCACCACCCGATGACCAGCCGCTCATCTTATCCCAAACAGATGTGAGGAGAACGGCGCATAGGATTAACCCCCACAAACCTGCAGCCCTGACAATATCCCAGGGGTGCCTGCTGAGGGACTTTGCCCACCAGCTGACCGAGGCGCTAAAGCCCTTTTCACTCTGAATTTATCAGTGCGCTGATGTCAGCCCTATGCGGTGTGTATGTGGAGAGGGGCAGGCACCACAGAACGGAACGTTGCTAATTGTCACTAGGAGAATACATTTTTGAGGTATTGCTGTTTGTTTTGAAATTCACTTACCTAACTTAATCATGTTTTAATCCTTCAGTGAATTACACAAGACCGGTTATTGTGCTTGGACCAATGAAAGATCGAGTCAACGATGATCTCATTTCGGAGTTTCCTGACAAATTTGGCTCCTGCGTCCCACGTGAGTCTAAACTGCAGTATACATGCCAGCAGAAACTTGTTTGAAATGTGCACAGAGGATTGACTTAAATATTGTGACAAATGCGAAAATAATCATGGATTTAATATGATATAATAGTCATGTTTTGGTTACCTTTAGTTTTTGGCTAGTCTTGTTGAAGGAAAATTTGAACACTTCCAGTAAACCTGTGTGCTCCTCAGACACAACTCGGCCACGGCGGGACTATGAAGTGGATGGCAGAGATTATCACTTTATGGCCTCCAGAGAGCTAATGGAACGAGAGATCCAGGAGCACAAGTTCATTGAGGCGGGACAGTATAACAACCACCTGTATGGAACCAGTATACAGTCCGTTAAACAAGTCGCTGAAAAGGTAAGATACAAGCATAGAGGAGAAAATATGGCACAGTACAGAAGGAGAAGAAAACAAATCTAATCGACTGTGGGAGGAGTGGGAGCAGGTGTCTCATTGTGTCCAAACCTTTGTGTCCTTCAGGGTAAACACTGTATACTGGATGTATCCGGAAACGCTATTAAGCGTCTGCAGCTGGCAGGCCTGTATCCTATCGCCATTTTCATTAGGCCACGCAGTGTTGACAACATCCTGTAAGTTAAAATGCATCGTAAACCTTTGGTTCTACTGTTTTTGGAGTCAGAGTAGGTTACTCCACCAACGTCAAAAAAACAACAACAAAAAAAGAAGCAGATAAAAACCGTATTTTCCACACTATACAGCACACATGAAAGCAGAACATTTTCTCAAAAGCCGCCAGTACACCTAATAATATGATATGCCTTATATGAGGATCGATATTCTGATTTCTTGGACATAGTATTTTAAATGTTCTGTCAAGCGCTTTGTTACAGCTGCAGCGGTTGGGTAAGCTCTATATAAATAAAGCTTTATAGTTATGTATTAACTTCAGTGTAGTTCCATCTGGTGAATGCATAATGCAACCGCAGCCACTATTGTAGCTTCTATTCTATGCACCTTATAATGTGGCGTGCCCTATATATGAAAACAGTTTTAAAATGGGCCATTCATTGAAGGCGGGCCTTATAATCCGAAGTGCCTTATAGTGTGGAGAATACAGTAGTAGTACAGTGGTACCCTGACCTATTTGTCCCCCAGCTTACAAGGTTGCCGTTGCTCTGCCAATTTCTTTGTCTTCAATGTTATTTTTTTCCCCACTTTGGACCGTCCACATTCCAGTGAAGACAAGAAAATTGGGCAATTAAGATGGAACCTCTCAGGAGCCTTGCTTCACTGTCAAATTGGTTGTCAAATAAATTTTCAGACAAATATGTATTGGGGTCAAAAACATTGCTTCCTGACATCCACCCAGAATGCTCAATTGTTCCTTCTTTCATACAGCGTAACGGTCATTCAATGCCCGCAGTGTGTATTTCTGGTATTTTGGCTTTTCTGCTGTATATTATCCCTCAGCACATCTCCCAAAAAAGTATACAAATGATTGTGCTGTTAGCCGTGTTGCCACATTTTATACTGGAAAAACGATTTTCCGGTAGTTAGTTTACTCTTTACTTGATTTTAAAAATAACTACATTCTATGACAATAACTTTATTAGTTACATTCAACAGATGTGGACAACACTGCTGAACAGTAAATGTAAAAGTTAACTGTCTAATTTAAAAAAAAGAAGTACAAGTTAATAATCACAAGTAATTATTTTTATTAAAAAAAAAGTCAGTGGATTTCACTGAACATAAACAAGCTACTTGTTTTCATCAATCCATTCAGTTTCTACCGCTTAATCCGGTGTCAGGTTGTGGGGGCAGACGATTTAGCAGGGAGGCGCAGACTTCCCTCTCCCCAGCCACTTCGAGCTCTTCTTGGGGGATCCCAAAGTGGCCCCAGGCCAGCAGGGAGACATAGTCTCTCCAGCATGTTCTGGGTCATCCTGGGGGCCTCCTGCTGGTGGGACATGCCAGAAACACCTCACCAGGGAGGCGTCCAGGAGGCATCCTGATCAAATGCCCGAGCCACCTCATCTGGCTCCTCTCAATGTGGAGAAGTATCGGCTCTACTCTGAGTCCCTCCCGGATGAATGAGCTTCTAACACTATCTCGAAGGGAGAGCCCAGACACCCAGTGGAGGAAACTCATTTCAACCATCTGGAATCTCATTCATTCGGTTATGATTCACAGCTCGTGACCAGAGGTGAGGACATGGATGGACATAGATCGACCGGTAAATTTAAACCTTCGCCCTTCTGCTCAGCTTCTTCTCCACCATGAAAGACCTATATAGGGTCCACCTCAAAGGAGGCGCTGCACCAATCCGCCTGTCAATCACCCGCTCCATACTGCGCTCGTCATGAACAAGAGCCCAAGACACTTGAACTGCTCCACTTGGATAAGCAGACCAGGGTTGTAGTCCCCCTTTTTTAAGGAGGAGGACCGAGAGTGTGTCCCAATTAAAGAGGGATCACACTCCCCAGCCTCTCTGCTAAGGTCTATTCATGGGTGCTTGAGAGGAGGGTCCATCGGGAAGTCGAATCTCAGATTCTACACCCTCGGCAAGGTCCTTGCGGGTGCATGGGAGTTCGCTCAACCACTCTACATGTGGTTTTTGGACTTGGAGGAGTTCTACCGTGTCTGTCGGGGAGTTCCGTGGGTGTTGCTTTGGGAATATGAGGTAGCGAGCCCCCTAATACAGGCTGGATGGTCCCTGTGCAACGGGTGTCAGAATTTGGTCCGCATTGCTGGCAGCCAGTCGATTGTTATCGACTCTGTTCATAACCTTTACAAACAGAATTTCTTGGCACAGCCGTTGCATTGAGGGTGTCCGGTTTGGTAGCCTCAGTATTGCATCGTTTCTTTTTGTCGATGATGTAGTACTGTTGGCTTCTTCAAGCTGCAATCTCAAACTCTTAATGGAGCGGTTCACAGTCGAGTGTGAAGTGGTTGGGATGAAAATAAGCACCTCTAAATCTGAGAACATGGTCCTCGCTCGGGTCAGGGGATGAGTTCCTGAGCCTACGTGGTGATATACTTTACACATTGATGCCCATTTTTTATGCAATACCGCCTGAGGGATCAAAGGTCACCTGAATTCAGTGTTGGTTCTCAGCCTTGCCGCTTACAGTACATGCAATGATTTCTCCAGGTTCTCTGAACCTTTTGATGATATTATTGACCATAGATGATGTAATGCTTAAATTCCTTGCAATCGTTTGTTGAGGAACATTGTCCGGAAACAGTTCGACTGTTTTCTTACGCAGTTGTTCACAAAGAGACGAACCTCGCCCATATTTGCTTGTGAATGACGAAGCAAGTCAGGAAGGCTTCTTTTGTAGCCAATCATTGCACTCACCAGTTCCCAGTTAGCCTGTTCACCTGTGGAATTTTCCAAAGAGGTGTTTGATGAGCATCCCTCAACTTTGTCAGTCTTTTTGGCCAAATGTCCCAGCTTTTTTGGAACATGTTGCAGCCATAAAATTCCAAGTTAATGTTTATTTGCTAAAAACAATATCAAGTTTTTATCAATTTAAAAATTAAATATCTTGTCTTTGTTGTGTATTCAATTAAGTGTAGGTTGAACATGATTTTCAAATCATTGTGTTCTGTTTTTTTTTTAACACAATGTCCCAACTTCATTGGAACTGTTTAATTAAAATATCAAATGCAACAAGTCGTGACAAGAATTCCGTTTTTTTATGGTGACTCTAAATCAAACGGTCATTTCTAACCGGGAACACGTAAGTGTTTAACTTGAAATAAACACAACACGAACATCCAACCATAAAATTGTTTGTATTTTGGGGTCTCTCAGAATGGATTAATGGCATTTCCATTGATTGTTAATGGTGAGAGTTGATTTGAGATATGAGCGAATTGAGTTAGAGAGCAAATTGTGGTAGTAAGTGAAGGAACCACTGTATAATCTCTTTCCATAGAGAGAAAATAATACAGTCGTCCCCCGCATGCTCACAGTTTGGCACCCGTGATTTGAATATTAGCATATTTTTATTCTTCTTTTTTCCCTCGGTATTTTGAAATATTTTTGTTGCCTTTTTTCCCACCCATTTCCCACCAATTATCGTGGAAATATTATATTAAATAAAATAATTTAAATGTGTAAAAAAGGTTGAAGGTTGGAAAAAAAATAATCTGAAATGAATGTGCTTTGCATTGACACTGGGACATCTGTGTGTTTCTCCAGAGTGATGAATAAGCGGTTTACTGAGGAGCAGGCAAGGAAATCCTATGACAGAGCTGTCAAACTGGAGCAGGAGTTCACAGAATATTTCACTGGTGAGGCACCATTCATTGATATAAATGATATTTTCTGTACTCTTTCACAACAACTTCATGTAACATACAGTAACATAAATTGCAATTACAAGTATCACATTGCACATACATGTGAAATACAAACATTTGAAGGCAACACTAGATACACAAACAGACCTACAGAACTCAGAGGGGCTGTCTTTTTAGTTCCACACATCACAGTAGGGGTGACGTGTATAGTATAGTATATCCAATATCCGGTATGAATTTGACCAAAGGTTGGGATTTGGACCCTACTTTCCAACCGCCGTAATGCATGTTGATTATATCTATGTATCCCCTCCGTACACACTTAATCAGTGTGGCAGCTACTCACGAGCTGCAGCTGGATAACTAACGTGGCTAAACATGATGTGAAGGCAAAACGTCGCTTTGCATTCGTTATCGATGTAGTCACTCATCATCGCCTCAACGACAGCGGCAAAGCTTCACTTCTGTAAGTAGCGTTCCGACCAAGACGAAGGGAAGATGTTCATGAGATGGCAAGCCGTGCTAATTACTAACCTATAGAAATGCACTCACAAAACACCACAAAGGACTTATGTGATAATGTGCATTTGTCAGGTAGGTCTGGTTGGAACCGCGTTACTGTGGAGAGTAGCTAATTTTGAACAGCAACATATAAAGCAACTGAAGTACCTGGGGAGAAAATAACTCAGAATAACGGAGACAACCACTGAAGACCAGAAATTAGGGGTGGATGATTTATCGAAATTTTAATAATTTCGGTGTTGGCTACTTTCGATCTTTAATACATTACCATTGAAAAAAAAACAATTAATGTGCAGAACATTGCGGTGTGTTTACCACTTCCCAACATGCAGGCCACAAAAATGATGTGGCGGGCCAGATCTGGCCCCCGGGCCTTGAGTTTGACACCTGTGATTTATTAGATTATTATGAATGAAAAATAATTTTGACCTGAATGTTATATTGTGATGTGTCCCGTTGCTGTGAACGGATACATATGATACCGTGATACGAATTTTGGGGCTATGTGGCCCAGCCCATGTCATTGTCCAAAAAAAGAGGAAATTCCAATTTGATCATGGTGGGAAATGGAAAATGTTACTTTGTCTACACCGTATGTTGTTCAAAACCGAAACATATCGGAGTTCACCATGCAGCCGTGTCAGTGTATGGAAAATTTTTAGTTTCAAATAACTTAGTTTAACCTCCAGGATGCCTCGCCCTACTCTTTGGCGGCCTGTGGAGCAATGTACAAACTGAGCTGTGATCGATTTGTGTTAATCCGTGATCTTTTTTTTTTCCCCTCTGCAGCTTTTGTCCATGGCTCAACTCTAGAGGAAGTGTATTCGCAGGTGAAGCAAATCATTGAAGAGCAATCGGGTCCTTACATTTGGGTGCCCACGAAGGAGCGGCTCTGAGTAAATGCCGCCCACGCTACACGTTAGCACACTTTGGCAGCACAATATGGCTTGTTTTTGCTCTTCCACACCCACACACACACAACACACACACACACACACACACACACACACACACACACACACACACACACACACACACGCACCTCCATGTTTTCTCACTCACACGGATACCAATACATAACGCTGAACGAGGCTGAGACTGATCTGGAGATTGCAAACTCCCCCTTCTTGAGGGTCGAGGAGCTTATGTCTTTCCAGCAGCCCACTGGTGGATCTTCCTACAGCTGAGTTCCTTAATGTTTAAGGACGTGGTTCAAATCACTTGTAACATGTACCGTCATCTGATTTATTGATTTCATTCTTGTGTGTTGTTGTTGTTGTTGTTTTCACATACAAAGTAAACAAAAGGGAATGCATTCACCTATGGGTTTGTAATGATAGTACTGTCACCAAGGAGAAGACTTTTGCACGCCGTAGCTTTAAGAGCATGTTTATGGGTACAGAATCTCGTTCCTTCTTTTCCCATCGTGTCTGTCATATTTCATGGCATCGCTCCACTTTATATTTGAAAAAGCTCTCTTTTACACTCTTTCTCTGACTTTTCCACCTTTCCTCTCTGATCCTGCGGCTCCCCTGCCAGACTGCCTCAAGTTGAAATATGAGCTAATGATTGAAATGTGCCCTGGCATGTTGGACTCAAGGGCCGAGATAGAAACGATTACTACTTGGAAATGTAGCACACTTCGATACCATTATGATGATAAGTAGGGTTTAATTGACATGACATGACATGCAGAAAGTGTCAAAAAAAAAAAAAAAGATCTATTTTCTATACCAGATGTCCTCATGAGTGTGACAGGTGAGCAGAAGCATATCCCAGCTGACTTTTGACTGGAAGTGCAGTGACATCAACTTCCTTGAGGCTCCATCCCCCAGATTTCTCTGCCTTTTCTGCTCTTCTTCCTCTTCATTGGCAGAATTTTATATGGACATCAGTACACACACACACACACACACACACACACACACACACGCACCTCCATGTTTTCTCACTCACACGGATACCAATACATAACGCTGAACGAGGCTGAGACTGATCTGGAGATTGCAAACTCCCCCTTCTTGAGGGTCGAGGAGCTTATGTCTTTCCAGCAGCCCACTGGTGGATCTTCCTACAGCTGAGTTCCTTAATGTTTAAGGACGTGGTTCAAATCACTTGTAACATGTACCGTCATCTGATTTATTGATTTCATTCTTGTGTGTTGTTGTTGTTGTTGTTTTCACATACAAAGTAAACAAAAGGGAATGCATTCACCTATGGGTTTGTAATGATAGTACTGTCACCAAGGAGAAGACTTTTGCACGCCGTAGCTTTAAGAGCATGTTTATGGGTACAGAATCTCGTTCCTTCTTTTCCCATCGTGTCTGTCATATTTCATGGCATCGCTCCACTTTATATTTGAAAAAGCTCTCTTTTACACTCTTTCTCTGACTTTTCCACCTTTCCTCTCTGATCCTGCGGCTCCCCTGCCAGACTGCCTCAAGTTGAAATATGAGCTAATGATTGAAATGTGCCCTGGCATGTTGGACTCAAGGGCCGAGATAGAAACGATTACTACTTGGAAATGTAGCACACTTCGATACCATTATGATGATAAGTAGGGTTTAATTGACATGACATGACATGCAGAAAGTGTCAAAAAAAAAAAAAAAGATCTATTTTCTATACCAGATGTCCTCATGAGTGTGACAGGTGAGCAGAAGCATATCCCAGCTGACTTTTGACTGGAAGTGCAGTGACATCAACTTCCTTGAGGCTCCATCCCCCAGATTTCTCTGCCTTTTCTGCTCTTCTTCCTCTTCATTGGCAGAATTTTATATGGACATCAGTATGCCAATATTAAACCCGAGTCGATCAAGTTATGCTGCAATAATAAACCACTGGAAACAACATTCTCTGATTACCTTATTAATTGTGGTTTACATGGAATTTATGTTCCGCTCGGCATACATACTAACAAAGTGATGACATGAAGATATCCTCCTATTTCTTCTGCGAACATAGAGTGTAATGCTACATGGATAGGATTGCTTTCTTGCACGATGTGGTGTCACATGTCAAGGGAACAATAATTGGAAGATTCAACCAATCACCCTCCTATGAAGAGAATGCTCACGAAGGGGAATATTGTATTGTTGTCCATGTAAACAACCAGTGTCTCATGCCTTCAGTCTCTCGTCTGCATACATGCACCGCGGCTTCTGTCATGGGGGCTTGTTCCTTAAAGGGGAAGTTGAGGCAAAAATGTTTGTTGTTGACTATATTATGCTCTATTGAAGCGTCACTCCTTAAATCACAGTCTTTGGCTTACTCTTTGCATTTGTGGAATATGAATTAAGTCAGCAAGTTTTAGTCCATCTTAGGGGGCGGCCATTTTGACATTTGTTGCCGACAATCACAGCTCCGGTCAGGCTCTGGTCACAGTTCAGCTGTTTTCTGATATTGTCATGTGACCTTGGCAAGTTGAGCCGTGATTGGCTGATACCTGAGCCCTGAGCAGCTATGACATCATTTTCAGACGCAAAATTTGATATCATTCATATTCCACAAACATAGTCTCAATCGGAATGCCGTGTTTCGAGTAGTGGAGGAGCACAGAGCATATTATTTGAAAGAAAGTTCTTGGCTTGACTTCCCCTTGAAAAGCAAATTTTACCAAGATTGGGGGTCTATGAATTCTGTGTGTGAGTCACTTACTTCTTGTCAATGCCTTGTGAGCCGCAAAGGGTCACTTGGGTCGTACATCTTTTTAGTAGTATTCCATGGCTAAAATGAAAATACTCGGGAAGAATGAAAAGAATGAAGCACTGATGGATGCCTTTCAGCCAAGAAGGCATAAAAAAACGCCTGAGACTTGCCACATAAATGACCGTCGCTCTGGTACATTACACTTAGTTTGATTTGGTCTTCTAGCCTTCTCCCTGTCGTAAACGTCATCCTGACTCGACTACATACTCCCATGAAACGTTACATATCAAGCCACACAAAAAAAGTAGAGGAAGCCATCATGATGTCACCCAGGGTTTCGTGAACCCCTTACAAAGTTGACGATCTCAGCTGTCGTCTCACCTTTCTTCCTCAGCTGATGGATCATGGATATTATTTGTTTACAAGAGGACTTCTCAGGGGATTTTCTATATTCCAGTGAAAATGATAGCATAACTTTGTTATAGTGAGATCATGGAACACGACGATATTTTTTATGAGTGGTTTTGTGTTGTGGGATTGCTGTGTTTCTGATTGATCAAGTGTTTTGTACTTTGAGCGCTACGGTCGTGAATGGGGCTCCTCTCAAATTATGCGCTTGTGTCTTGTATCACATTTAAGATTTGAAATACTGAGATGCTTTCGAGAAACGCAGCCCCAGAAGGACCTTCTCAACTACTCGTTTGGCCTCCCCACCCCACCCTTTTCCACTCCGAAGCCGACTGGAACCCAGAGACTTCCAGAGAAGCCGGTTCTGCACCGCATGAATTTTGATTGTTAAAAAGGATTTGCATCTGGAGCTACTTTATATTCATATCCATTCAGAATTGTTGATTGTTTGAACAAAACTGGACTCTTTGTTTGATTCTGGCTTTGTTTTTTCAACCTGGAGTTTTTGCTACCGTATGTTAGCGCTAAGCACTGATGCAAATAATCTATTTCATATATATATATATATATATATATATA